TTTAGTGATTAGTGCAAAAAATACAGGACTGCTTTTGTCTAACAGAAATTAAGTTCTACTGTTTTTTGCCCTGAGTGAACCTAAACTTAATTGAATTTTAACTGCTTTTGCTGTTTTAATTACCTCCTAAGAAGGACATTAGATTTTAGCTCACACTACTTTGTGCAATTAAGACTATGTGGTACCATCCAGTCCCTAAAGCAGTATTTGGATCAATGCTATAATAATAATCTCATCTGTTCATTTTTTCTTTTTTTCCTCTGGTTGATGTTGGTAAGCTCTTTAAACCACAGGCCATGACTCCAACCTGGCCACAGGTCTATTTCTGCCCGCTTCCTCCATGACAGGATTTGTATTTATTAGGCTTTAATGAGAGCAGGTCTCACACTGAGCCGCTCTGCAAATCACAAAAATTATGGACTGAGCTTTATTCTAATACAAAACAATTACTGTTTGAAAAACGAGGCTGTAACTAAGATATATTTCCAGGTAAAATGATGTCAAAAATATTCCAAAAGTAAAAACTTAATTGACAGCTACACGGATGGAATAATTACTAGAGCTTTGTTATAGGAAATTAACATTATGCTGATTATTTTGATTGTTAGACGATAATACAATTTTATAATATATCAGATCTTTTTAAAGTTGGGTGATGATCAGTTATGCATTCAAGAACACCATTTCAGCTCGGTGTCCAGTTACCCCCCCTAAAAATCTTCCATTTGCTCCAGTATACTGCAGCAGGGTTTCTGACAGGAACAGCAATAAGGGAACACATTTATCCAGTTTTAGCTTCATTAAACTCGCTGCCTGTAAAGTTTTAAAATCCTTTCAGAAGCCTCATTTGATATGAAGCCCTAAAAAGCCTGGCAGTAACTCATTTCAAAGAGCTCTTGATGATGATCCCACATGAACTCTTTGCTCCCAGCACTCAGGTTTACTTGTTCTTCCAAGAATCTGTAAAACCAGACAGGGAGGCAGAGCGCTTGGTTTTCAGGACCCCTCTAATCTGGAATCAGCTTCCTGTTTGTGTGTAAAATACTAACTCACTCTGTTTTTAAAGCTAATCCCAAAACCTAGCTTTTTGAAAGAGCACAAACTTCATGTGTATTTTATGAATACTATCTGCCTTTGTTATTCATGTTTTAACACACTTGGTTTAATATCTTTTATCTCCTTGATAATATTTTAATTTTATTTCTTTATTGTGACTTCCCCGAGGTTTACAATTATTTTAATCACGGATGCCTTCTTATTTTATTGCTATTTTTATGCTATTGGTTTATGACTATTTTTTATTTATTTTAAGCAATTTTGGGTTTCACTTGTGTGCTATATAAATAAAGATGAGTTGAGTTTAACTCTGAGTGACCACTCTCTGGGGGAAAAAAAAAAAAAGTTAAATTCTGATAAGACTGAAAAGCTAATGGATAGTGTGAGTGTGGCCAATATGGATCGCTGCCGTCTTAAAACAACTCTAAATTCAAAAATTTCACAAAAGTCCATGTAAACATGATTTGATAAACTTTTCAATTATTGTAAAGTTGGCATTACGCCGTTATTTACATACAAGTGCTGTGTTGTCATTATTAAATGTTTGTATACAATGATTAAATTGGTTCTCGCATTTAACCCATCATACCTGTGATACACCCAGGTGGAGCAGTGGGCAGCTATGTGAGCACCCAGGGAGCAATCATGATTAGGTGTTTTGCTCAGGAGCTCCACGACATGTGGGCATGGCGGGGGAGTCGAACCAAGACTTTCTGGTCCCATGTCGGCTGCCCTACCTCTACACCATCTCGGCCCCCTAATAAAATTCCAGCGTTTCCCCTACCATTATATAAGCGGAGCACCCTGCCCCATCAACAGAACCGTGCCCCACACCTACCAAACCGAACTGCTCTCACCAAAACAGTTCCGTTAAGCTTCAGATGGACTACTGACAGTGATCCATCAGCCCAAATGGACGTTCATTCAGCCGCTGTACTCAGCGGAGGCATGCAACCGACAACCCAAACAGGTGAGATCACAAAATATCCGTCTGAAATGTGTGCAGGAGTAGAGCAGGATCCGTGTCTGAATAAATGCAGAATGCAGTCAGAAGAAGGGATTTAATGCTCGTTGACGGCCATGAAAGAACAAACACCCCCTCAGCTCCGATCTTCTACCCCCCTTTACTCAGCCGCGCGCATCCACAGACCATTAACAACTATATAAGTAGTCAAAGCTTAAATAAAAATGTTGGGGGGGTTTAGAATTCTGACCTGTAATTACTGTTAATTCGTCGGGTCGGGTGGGGTTTGGAAATGATGGCTACGGGCTGGGTCGGATTTTTTGGACACAAATGCAACTCTACTTCTGGGACAGCTTGGAGTACTTCCAGCGTCAATTTGGCTGTAATCTTTATTAAATGTAAAACAGGTGGGAATTTAAAATTTTGTAAATTAAAATTTGAATGACTTCTAAGATTTTAGAACACCAGTTTGGATCTTGGTTGTACTTGAACCAGCCATTAGCTCATTAATTCGGTTGGAATTAAACTATTTCTCCAAATTCAAGCTGTACAAAGACCTATGTAGAACAGGTGAGATACTGATTGTCTATTACCTTTCCTCAGAACCAAATTTTCAAATATCCGCACCATGTATTTAAGGCACCCTCATAGAGATCGCAAAGACTTAACTGGACTTACAATACACGTCCAGTCGATAATGTCGAATTTTCTTCTGGCCGTTCAGCGAAGGGTGGAGCACCTCGCAGTTCAGCGCCGCCCCGTTGTCTTTCCTTTCTACTGGGATGCGGATAGTGCTGGACACACTGAAGGTTTTTCCATTGTCCTGCTGGGATACAACACCTGGAGAGAGATACAAAGAACAAATGGAACAGGTGAGGTTAGCAGCCAAAATACACATCGGTTTTTTTTTTTATTCCCCTTCCAGCTGTGACATCGCACCTTTGAAGAGAAACAAGTAGTAAAGCAGCAGGAAGGGGAATTTTCGCAAAAAGCACAGAGGGGGACAGAAAAAGTGTGCCGACAGAGAGGTAGAAGTTACTGACAGACGAATGAGCTTTGTCAGAGCTTCACCGAGCACAAACGGAGAGGAGGATGAATGGTAGAGGACAGACTAAAAACAGCAAGAAGGGAGAAAGTCATTTGCATCTACATTTCATGGCAATTAAGAGCCCAATTTGTTTCACACCGCAAATCAACTAAACATTTTGTGTGCAAAAGCAAAAAGTGCAACAAATAAATAAATAAATAAACAAGCCAAAGTGGGGAGTGAAGGATGAAAGAGGGACTATGCAAATAAAAAAATAAAAAAACAGATTGAAATTTTACCCGAGCCAGACATGAAGGGAGTGCTGAAAGTAAAAGTGTGGAGGAAAAAAATGAAAGAGGGACCCATTGACAGGGTGCAAGAAAAGCAACACAAACATGATTGATGCACGCGTGCGTCTATATGTTTGAGAGAACGCAGACATGAAAGAGAACGATAAGAGCGCCGAGCAAGATGAGGGCTGGAGAAAGATGGAAGACGAGACGGAGAGGAGAGAAACAGACGGAGGAGGAGGAGGAGAAGCTGAGCCAAGCTAACTGGACTTGACACGGTCACGTTTGAGGAGTTTGCTTGTTTAGGCAGAATGGGATATTACTTTTATCGCACTGAGTTTTCAATTATGGCCGGCGAGCAAATGAGAGTGGGCCTAATCGAAGCACGAGGGAGGACGACGACGCCTTCTGATGAACAGGATCAAGGCAACGGTGGGAAGATAGTGTCTTAATTAAAGAGTGCTTCCCATATCTGTTGAGATCTGCTTCTAACCTTTAGTGTCACAGTTCATTTACCTCAAGGCCAAAGGAGATAGGCCAATTGTGAAGAGAAAACAGTAAAAAAAAATGAAAGAGTGAAGGAAAACAAAAGGAAAGACAAGATGTAAAAAAAAAAAAAAGACAAACTCCTGCATGTTTCTTTTGGCTTTATAAACTTTTCCCAACCTATACCTGTGCTGAGGAGCGTCATTTTTTTTTCAACAAAGAGAGTAAATGATAAAAAGGAAGAGAAGCCGGCCAGCAGAAAGAACCAGGAAGGGCTAAATGGGAGGAGAAAGTCAGGAGAGAAAATGATGAGACAGGTGTATTCTGACAGAGAAGAGGTGAAGACGATGGATAAAAGAGGCAGAGAGTCAGAGTGGCAAATTCAAAAGTGCTACAAAGGACTTGTTACAAGTTCTCAGAATGGTTAATAGCAGGATAAATGATGGGATTCAAATTAACTTTATTTGAAATGGTAGTAAAAACACATTTGATAACAGTTAAAAACTTTTAACCACGTAGTTAAAATCTAAATATAAATGGGTTAGTTAAAAAACAGCCACAACACGTTATAAGAAAGAAAAAAAAACATGTATTTGTCTTCAAAAGAGTTCCTGTTCAAGTATGATAAAATGATGAAGGACTTTTCAGAGATCGTTTCAAAACCAGCAACACACAGATGGAGATTATCAGAAGAGACCAAAAAAAAAAAAAAGTTTTTCTTTGTGTAAATAGACTGAAAAAACTTGATGTCTCTGTTGTGTTCTAGTAAAAGAAGTTTCTTTTGAATATAGAAATGAAGAGAGGAAGTGAGCTGGAAATAATAGATCAATATAAGAAGCTGATCGATGGTTCATCGCTCTCTGAAGCTAACTGGGAGAGGTTGGAAGATTTTGAATCGGTGCAACTTCAACCGTCAAAAACAGCTGCAAGAGAAAAGCTGCAAATCTAGAATGCATGCACCTCTGAGCCTTCATGCTTTTCAGATTATTTCAAATAAGACATGAGACATAGTGAGAAAATAAAAATAAAATAGCAGGGAGATACAGAATCGTTGAGTTAATGATGATTTCAACAAGCCTTCTTATATCTAACAAAGTTAAATGGCTATTTATAAGACTGAGTTTGTTGCAGCTCCTCAGACTGACAAAGTGTTTTGGATAAAAGATGAAATGTTTCAACAAGAAGAATCCGTCCAGAGGACCTGACTTAACTTTATCAAACTTTTCTACCTGGATTACTGAGCATGCATCAGGAGAAGCTTGCTGATGCTTTTCCCAGTTCACATAAACAAAACCCAGTTAAAATTAAATTGTTGATGTGCACTGAAGGTGTTGTTTTCATTTGAAACTATTCTAAGCCTGGGCTATTTAAAAAAAAAAAAATTCTCCCTTGTCCTGTCTGGCATTGAGACACTCAGAATTATTGTCCGAGTGTCAAGGTGTTGCCCAACAGATTTACTTTCACAAGCAGAGCATTATGGCTGGCATTAATGCTCCACAAGATAAATAAATTAAACTTTATTAGAATTTGCTTTGGGTTTGAATCAGATGTAATGGACAAGGGGATGTAAAAGCCTGGGCTATTCAATTGGCGGCCCGCGGGCCATTTTGAGCCTGAGGGTGACTTAAATCTGACCCACCAATGACTTCATAAAAAAAAAAAAAAAAACAAATATATATATATATATATATAAATATATATATATATATATATATATATATACACGCACACACACGTACAGTAGTCCCTCGCAACTTCATAGTTCGTTTATCGCGGACTCGCTCTATCGCGGTTTTTCAAAATAAGATTAGACATGACACACAATTGGCTGATTGATGGATGAGCTGCACGATCGGCATGAATTTTTTATTTAAAATACACTATTTTAATTGGTTCAGCACCTCCTGCAGCTTTGTGCAGCCCTTACTGTTGCAGGATAAACTCCCTTCTGCAGTTAAACAGCTGATCAGATGTTCACCATACAGAGAAGAGAAGTGGGCGTGGCCAAGAGCGCTTGCACGTGTCAAAGACCAGAGGAGGCAGAGAGCTGAAATCATGACTTTCTGTGATCTTTTAAGCTACTGTGATCTACTTATATATATATATATATATATATATATATATATATATATA